GCACCCGCCTGGTCTAGATGGGTGCCGGGCAAGCTAGGCAGGTGCAAAGAACAAATAAGAGGACAGGAGCGCGATCAGAGTTCGAGAGAACCCTAAACCCGTAAAAGTCGAGGCGGGGGTGGGCTCCTGCAGGTCAGGGTGCGCGCCTGGGTGCTTCCAGCACCAGCGCACCCCCCTCACTGAGACACTCTGAACCGCAAACCCTAAACTCAAAACCCTAAAACCTAAACCCCAAACCCTAAGCACTAAACCCTAAAACCTAGACTCTAAGCCACAAACCCTAAACCCGGTACGCCAAACTCTAAACCCTACACTCCAAACCGAAACCCTGCAGCCCCGAGACAGGCTTTCAAGTTGAGGATCGTGGGCTTCACAGCTCCCTACCAGCAGAAGCCTTGGCTTATGGGTATAGTAATAGCAATAGTATTGTTTTTGATGCTAGTTAAATGGTTTAGGGTTTAGAGGTTTCTACAGTAGTCTGGGTGGTGAAGCTTATGGTCGGAGGTGAGTGGCAAGAGAAGTGGTCTTTGGCTTCGGCTAAGGTGTTGGTCAGGCAAACCCATGCTAGTGACATGCGCTACCTGAGGTACGACATCTACGACTACACCGATGCATGCCACACACAGTTTAGTCCAAAAAGGACTAGCCTTCAGCTGCGAGTTCCCCTTCTAGGGATGTTCTTCATCTCTTACAGTACCTACATACATATTCAAGGCCCCTTATCTTTAGAAACATTGAGTGAGGGCCCTTGCCCCGATACTTGTCTAGCGTTCAGAGCGATTTGGTTCGTGGGATGCAGGTTTGAAAGGTTCTCATGGGAGTTAACGACTACGTATAACAGGGGTTAGAACCTGACTTCTTACTGGAGTATGCAATAAACGGCCAGTTAGGGGGCACATAGGCGAGGTGATGAGGCCAGTGATAAATACTTACCAAGTCCCGTGAAGCACAAGTGGTGTAAGGCTGTCGGACTTTGGCTGTGTCGGTTTGTGCTGCTGAGCTGTCCCTGCAAGGAATTTCAGCCGCGAATGGGGCTCAGGTTGTAGCAGCTACGATAGCTTCGTGAAATTGCCGCAGTCCTGGACGTTGTCTGCGCAGGACTCTGACTTCTGGCAAGTGCGAGCGGTTCGTCGGAGGCTCGCAGCCGGGAGTAGTATAGGGTGACCAGGACGGCCAATAAGTGCTTAGAGCATAACAAAGACGGAACCCTATATCATATAAGCAGTACTTTAGATGCGGACTTTAAAGCCGCCATTATGAAGGAAGATCATACCCTCTTTCTGGCCATGCCGTGTTACAAGAAGTATACAATCTTGTTGGGATTTACCATCAAAAATTGCTGCTCGTATGGCCATCTTTCAAAAGTATTGGATTCATTGTAGGGCTTTTCTCTGTCGGGCTCCACGAGATCGGACTATATCAGTTAAAGGCAGAATACGAGCTCCTACCCGTGGTGTTGTCTCATTCTTTCTGCTGTTATTATTGTTATTCATACGATCATTAAAAATTGCTATTGTGATGAGGAAATCTTGTACCACCTTATCTACCTGATATCACAGGAGTTGTTTTGGGGTTGCTATGTGGTGCAGGATTTCCTCTACCCAACACATATCAGTAAACTTTAATTATTCTGTTGAATCCCAGAGCAGGTTACTTCGCCATGATGACAAATCGGCTGCGATCCTCCACATGCGTGGTGCGCTCCAGCATGATCCGGGCATGTAATGCAGGGCTTAATACCGGGATGCTGTTAAGGAGCTGAAGCCAACTTACCATTACAAGGAAGCCAAAGCATTTACTATACTGGTATATATATATATCTATACACACATATATATATGTACATCCATATCCTAATTGTGGTCTTTAAATGAAAGCCCAGAAGAATCTAGAACATGGTCTCAGGCACAATACACTCGGCCATCGGGATCATGAGGGAATAATTTGGATACAGCCCCCACCCAGTAACAGTTGGATTATATTCATATTCTAATATTATACATCCCTTAATATGATCCCTAGTATAGACTGTCGCAGTGGGGGGACAGTACCCAAGGAATAATGTTCTGAATTCCGCAGGCCTCACGTTGTAGCTGCTTTCGGCCAGTGTTTTTGTTCCCAAAATTCCAGCGAGCGCCCATGGCTAGAATGCCGAGGGTAGAACCCCAAACCCTAAACCCTAAACCACAAAGTGCAGGTTAATTAAGGTTTAGGATTCGGATTTGAGGGTTGAGAGTTCAGGATCAAGGTTTAGGTTTTGGGTTGTAGCTGTTGGGTTTCATGCCTAAACCCTACAGTCTAAACCCTAAAACCTAAAACCTAAACCCTAAACCCTAAAGCTTAAAACCTAAACCCTAAACCCCAAACCCTAAGACCTAAAAACATGAAACCCCAAACCCTAAACCCTGAAACCTAAACTCGAAACCCTAAAACCTAAACGGGTTAAGGTTGCAGGTGGGCCTTAAGTTTTACGGTTTAAGGCTTAAGGGCACAGGATGTGAGGGGCAGACAAAATTATGGAGCCCATGCTGGCTTATCTAGACAGGGTTCAGGGTCTAGGATTACATGGGGCGTATTGACCTGAAAGTTCGTGCAAATTCTGGTTCTTTTCGGGTCCATCATAGTATCATTTAGTACTCAGGGGAGCCAAGCAGGGACCATCTTTGTAAGAACTTACGAATGATGCTTGCATGGTTTGGGGTTGAGGGTTGGTGAGAATCTAGGGTCAGCATTAGACGTTAAGGTATGTTGTGAGGGCCTCCAAGCCACCAAAAAAACTCTTCACAATCTTGCACACATGCGAGTAGGCAGACAACTTATGCATCATCATCTTCATCATCATCACCACCACCATCATCATCACCATCATCGTCATCACCTTGCTACTCTTCATCAGAGTCCCTGAGGTGTCTGTATCATGGATTCCTCCACTACTCCCCTACTACTCTCTTTTGAAAATTCCCCCTGTTTCCCTCAACTCGGGTTTCTTCCAACACTTTAAGCGGAACCCAGCGGGCTAGCATCGAGGTTGGAGTACTCCCACGACCTAGACCTAAAACCCTAAACCCTAAACCTCAAATAGTAGTGTCCAATCTATTTTCCATTATCCCAAAATAATAACCATTATATATCCCCTATAAACCCTACGTCCTAAACCCTAAATCCTGAGCATTGATCCCTAAACCCTGAACCCTCAAGCCCTAGACCTACTGTAGACTGTAGGTCCTCTTCGGTAGTCTGGAGCTGCTGCACAAAGCAGCCCACCAGCTCGCCCATATAGGATTACGAGCTTAGGGTTTAGGGATTTAGGGTTTAGGGTTCAGGGTTCAGGGATTAGTGTTTAGGGTTTAGGGCTTAGAGTTTGGAGCTTAGGGTTAAGGGTTTAGGTTTCAGGGTTTAGGGCTTAGGGTTTAGTCCCAGGATTTTGCAATCCAATCTCACCCCGGCCTGTGACGTTCTGTTTGCGCTTTAATGTAGACCCGTGAGTAATAACCCCCTTCCCTTAGTAGGATTACAATAGGGATCCTAATATTTAGGCCCTTAAAAGTTGGAGGTTTATCATATTTTACCGTACGTAGTATAGTAGTTTCCATTTTATTTCCACTATCCCTACATAACCCCAATATTATTTCCTGGGGTCTACATTACGGTTTGATCTAGATCAAGATGAACACATTTGGCATGGTGGGAGTCGTGATTCTGTGGGGGTTGGGCCGGGTTTAGGCTTTAGGGTTTAGGGTTTCTGCCATTGAAATGATCCAACATGCGCATACCTACCTCCAGAAGCAGTCGTGTTCTTCAGGTAGGGCCTCGCCCAGAAAACCGACATAATCTTTATCACCCCCACAAGCCCTAAACCTTAAACCCTGAACTCCAAACCCTAAACTCTAAGCCATAAACCCTAAACCCAGCCAAAAAAAGATTGAACCCCAAGACCAACCTGCAGCCCTTGCCCACAACCCCAGCCCCGAAACCCTGAAGCTATTATATCTGCCCAAATAAATACCAGTGTTGTGGTTCCATGTTCATTGAATAGTATAATAGGCGGTGCCTGAAACAGGCCTGAAGGTGATATTGGAAGTTACTTAGGCTCTTGCATGAAGCTCTTAGCCCAAACTTCGAACCCTAAACCTTAAGCCCTAACCCCAAAAAACCCTGAACCCTAACCCCTAAGCCCTAACCCCTAATCCCTAAACCCGAACCTCTAAACCTTGAGCCCTATGCCCCAAACCCTTAAAGCCTATGCCCGATTGTGAGCCTCTGCCAGGGTGCCAGCTGCTCACGGTTGGCAGAGGGGGGCTGAGAATGATATCCAAACAGGGGTCCCCTTAAATAGGGCTCAGGGGTGAGGGTTTAGGGTTTATACAGGGTTTAGGGGTTCAGGTTTAGTGTTTAGGGATTAAGGTTTAGGGATTACGATTTAGGGGTTAGGTTTTTAAGGTACATTCCCCCAATGGTAGAGAATCAAATGGAACGCATAGCAGCAAAATGGAATGGAAACTCAGATTAATTGCTGGCTTATTGGGACTAGGCCATACATGACGTAGGGTTTCATTATGGATTTCGGTCGGTGTATAGAGGGTTCCCTAGGAATACTTTTGAGTGGATATATTTAGTGTCCAACGTGGGGGGGGGGACCATAAATTGAAGTCCAAACTTACATGCTTTTTGGGGCTAATGGTTTTTAGGATAGCTTCCAAAACATGCAGGAGTATATACTTTGCCCGAAATCCAGATAGCTGAATTGCCCCTTATCAAGGACCATACTCCGTAATCAGTAGGACCCCTAATATGATTTCAAGGAACATTCCTGCCTTACGGTGTGCAAGGCTCCCTGGGAACTTGCATATTTTGGGGGTTTTGGTTCGCCCTCAACAAACTAACATTGAAACCGATATGGTAGTTTCCGGAAATGAAGGGAAACCAATATAGACCCCAACATGATATAATCCTTAGTACTGGGAGGATCGCCAAAAAGGTACCCTAGTTTGGGAACCCCCCAGATAGGCTGGTTTTCAAAGGACAGAGGTCTCTGTCGGGCCCCTTTAGATTTAGGGCTTTCCTGTTGTTTGGAGAGCAGGGGTTTTATTGAACATGAGCAGAGATCATCAAGTCTTAGATTTTCTGCCTAGTTTCGGGATTCATCTTCTTCCGGAAGCCATCAAAGGGTATTATCTCTAAACCCTAAACCCTGCTAGTTTTGTGAGGAGCCTTGAGCAGAAACGCTCTGAGGCCAGAAGATCCACACCCATCCTTCGGGATGACATATGAGCTATAGTCTAAACTCCTTAAAGGGGGTTATATAGGGGATTATATAAGGAACTACTATAGGGCATATTAAGGGGGATACCAGGAGTTTAGACTATAGCTCATATCATACTTTAGGGTTTAGGGTTTAGGGTCATGGGGACTTAGTAAGTAGGCTAAGAATGGAAAAGAAAATGGAAACTACTATAGCGTTTAGGTTTAAGGGTTTACTGTTTAGGGTCATGGGGACTTAGTAAGTAGGCCAATAATGGGGATGATTGGGGTTATTATACGGCTTATAGGGCTTCTTAACCTACTTGCTAAGTCCCCATGACCCTCCAAGTAGGTTCAGGGTGTAAGGCTTGGCGTAAACTCGTGAGCGTTCTATACAGGCCCTTGCGGGTCCCCATTCATGCTTCTAAAGAATTCCTGGATACATGCGCGGCAGATGTTTGATTTTCGGGCTTGGTCAGCGCAGCCCAGATGAGGGTCTCTCAAAGTTGAACCCTAAACCCTACACCCTAAGCCCTAAACCCTAAGCCCTAAACCCCAAATCCTAAGCCCTAAGCCCTAATTATCATCCTCAAGGGGTCCCTATAATCCCTATAAAACTTCCATATACCCCCAAGGTACCAGTGGTTCCCCGTAGATGCTAAATTCCTAGACCCCTAATTTCATGGACCCCTGAATCCTGAAACCCTTAACCAACCTTCTGTTGAGCAACCCTCCAGACGTCAAGCTCTCCCGCAGCCCCTTACCTCTGGTTAGCAAGGAAGGAAGCATTATAGCCATTTCATAATGCGAGATCTAGCTTGGTAGTTTCTACTTTCTTTTTTCCGTTCTCTAAAGCCCCAATCCTAAGTCCTAGAACCCAAAGCCCTAAAAGTAACATTCATTTTCTTCATCCCCTGCTAATCGGAGGTTAGTCTCGCAGCCCGAGGTAACAAAGCAAAGGTTCTACTCGGAGACCAATTGCATGGGATTGCCCTACGAGGCTCTGCAGGGTCTAAGGGTTGTGGAGATGGTATTTTATGTGGGCATAGTGTAGTCCTTTCAAGGGGCTATAGGGATGATTAGGGTTCAGGACTTAGGACTTAGGGTTTACCAGCTGCATGAGATTGCTCTACGAGGCTCTGCAGGTCTAGGAAGGGATTGTCGGGACAGTATCTTGCGGTGGATGCATGAAATCTTGGACCAACTACTTGATCCCCAAAATACTGTCATTATTGGGGCATAGGTACATAAGGTGGTGCAAGATTTCCTCCATCCACAGTTTGTGGGGATACTTTAGTCCTCTAAAGGGTTGCCAGGATTTTTAGGGTCTAGGGCTTAGGATCATAGAATTGCTCCATCTTTGAAGACTGAGCGATGCTAGCTAATGGGCTGATCTTCCCCCGAACTAGCATGGAACCTCGCATGTGCTACTTGTAATATTAAGCTTCTCTTGCGGTTTAGTTTAGTTTAGTCCCCAACATAGTTCCTGACAAGGAACCCATGTCCGTTTATGTCCGTTAGATTTTCTGGGTAATATTGACTTTAGCTCACATGAGTCGTTTCAACAATCGCCCTTACAGGTTCCTTTCTCAGGTTTCATGTCAGTTTGTAGGAAGATAGGTGCATTTTGAGTGTAGCGCTTTTCTCCTTAATTTTCTTAGCTGCAGTACATGTCTAGCAGCGCTTGTTGGCGTGTTATACAAGGTTATGTAGGGTTCGGTAATCCTTTTATGATCCCCAGGTACTGATTACACTCCCTCCCCCAACCCCTTAAGCACCTTGACCACCAGTAAGCCGCAGTCTGGGGGGAATCAAGGGCCCAGGATTTGAGTATACCGCTAAGCCCCAAATCCCAAGCCCTAAACCCACAACCCTAAACCCCAATCCCTAACCCCTAAACCTGGATTTCAGAGCCCTTAAAGTTCAGGTCTCCGCGGTATAGGCTTCACAGCTCGCAGGATAATGAGGACTTGGGGTTTAGGGTTTAGGGTTTAGGGCTTTAGGGTTTAGGGGCTCAGGGGTTTAGAGGTTTAGGGCTCTTCGGGTCTCGGGGTTTAGGGTTTAGGGCTCTTGGGGTTCAATTAGGATTTAGGATTTAGGGTTTAGGGTTCAAGGGTTTAGGGTTGATGCTTCAGGGTTTGGAGGTTTAGGGGTATAAGGTTTGGAGGTTACTGTAAGGGGCTTAGGGTTCAGGCTGTGTGGTTAAGGCAGTCTCAGAAGTCCCACCTATAACTACCCCGGGTTTAGGATCTAGGGTCTTACCTGTAAGGATTCTGGAAAGGATCCTGAGTGGGAACCCTTGTGCCCTTCCGGAACCTAACATGGAACCCCCAAAAGGTCCGACCAAGGCTAATGTCCTTCTGAGACAAGACTAAATGGGTTTCCATGTTAGTTTGCGGGGAGGGTAGTTTCTCGGGTGTCTGTGCTCGCCACTTCAACATATAAAGGCTAGTAGAGTGGAGTATGTGAAGTGGGACTCCCACAAACTAAAATGGATCCACATCTGTCGCACTTTTGAACTTCAGTATGTATGCGGCCTCAGGGTACCTATCAGGATTTATTCGCCCGGGTAGCAATTTCCTTTGGCTTGGTGGAGGGTAAGGGGGATCCTAACCCTAGACCGCCAAACCCTAAACCCCTAAACCCTTAACCCTCCCATGAGTCTTTTGAAGCCACCTTGCATTGCAGGTCTACACCTATCCGGTACAGAACGAGTGCATGCGCTGGAGCAATGGTACACAGGCTCGTCTTCTAGCGGCAGGGTGGTGGTGGTGGTGGTGGTGGTGGTGGTGGTGGTGGTCGTCGTCGTCGTCGTCGTCGTAGTAGTAGTAGTAGTAGTAATAATAACAGTAGTGGTAGCAGGACAAGTACTTAGTATTTGTAGTAATTGAAATTCACCTTGCAGCTCTGCTTCTTGTGAATGACTCTTAGGTATGGTTCACGAGCACCAGTATACCAGCAGGACTGTCAAATGTCACAGGAGGTCTGGGGGCGTCCCGTTCGGGCAGATTGCTCTTGGAAAACATGAGAACGGCTTCCCACTGTAGATGCAAAGGAAATCCTGCATAAACTTCTTACTAGTTTACTAGTTGTTACTTAGTAGGGAAGGAAGAAGCAGGATGTAGGGATGTAGGATTATTTTGGACGTTTGCATAGGGACATGTACTGGCACCCGTTCCCCCATTTCCAAACCCTAAACCCTCAACCCCAAACCCAAAACCCTAAACCCATTGTACACTAGCTTATCAGGACTCCCACGTCATGCAGGATTTTCACCTTATACCCCATCAATGGAGCATCAAATGGAAAATAAGCTAGAAAATGAAGTGGAAATTGGGATTGTAGTTTAGTTCATAAGGGTTATATAGGGGATATATCATACTGGGGATATATCGGGATAATGGAAAAGAAAATGGAAACTACCCAGATTTCCTTTACCATATCATGTCCTCTTTTTGACTGATCAGGGTTCGGAGAGGGAGCTTTGTCGATGAGCCTCATAATTTGCCCCCTGCAGAGCCTATGGCAAGCTACTTTGTAATGCTAATGCTGACAGTGATAGTCATACTGATGTTTTTTTTGGTGAGGTTCAGGGTTGCGGGCTTCGTTTGTTTAAAACGTCTGCAGCTGCCCCCTACAACACAGTGGTTCTTGCAACCTGGAAGCAGTCCGTGACCATGCTGACATGAAATATATCCATACCGTTGATGGACATAATCCTACATGACCCTGGGTATCCCTAGGTATCCTGGGGTATATCAGAGTATCACCCCGATGGGGCTATCTGTATCTGGCGTCGCGAGTCCATCAGCAGTTGTTCAGTACCTTTTTGAGTGACGCGGAGCCATTCCCACGACAACAGCTCTGTGCCTTTGCACTTCTACATAGCATGAGCGAGAATTTGGAGCGGTCTGGACGATGCTGGAACTGCCAGGAATTCACCATGGCTTCCTGTATCCTTGTCTTAGACATCCGAAACCTTTCTCCACCCCTCAAATGCCTATGTGGGCCGGTCGATATAAGTGCCGCAAGACCGTTGTAGTCCTCAGTGCCGATGAACCCAATCCCGCCTAGGTCCTGGGGCATTACCGTAATACAGCGTACTGGATGATGTCCACCAAGCATATGTTAGTAAAAGCCTTCCTTATGACCTCTACCAAACAAGCGCGCATGGCACTTACTTCAAGATGCTGGCTGCCAAAAAAATAGGAATTAGGAATCCTTTTTTTTGGTTGGGGGGGTTGATAATCAGGAATATAGTCTTCAGGACATACAGGGGGGGTGGGCCATTCTTGTAACAGCTCATAGACTTCCCCCGCAAACCCTTAACCCGAAGCCCAGCAACCTAAATCCTTAGACCATAAACCGTACATCTAAACCGTGTGTCATCGCCCGAAAGCTTGCTCCAGACCTTCAAAGTGGATCCCACCACGACCAACGTCACGCAGGCGCACCTGCATCAAATAATTACCAATATAGTGGTTCTAGATTCCTTGGACAATCAGAGTGCAGGGCACCTCAAATAGACTTCAAATTGATATCCCTAAGCCCTAAACCCACCATGGCGGTACCAATTTAGGCTCCTACATCAACAAAGAGTGGTGGGTGAAGAGCCAATCCTTTCCCAAGCAACAGGGTCTTATGTTCAGGGTTTCTATATGAGCTATCGTCTAAAGTCCAAACACGTGGATTATACAGTTTTTTTTTGGGACTCCCTATAGAGGTTATTTAGAGGCGACGCTAGGAGTTAGACTTTGGCTCATATGCATGTTACATGGATTTTAGCGGTGCTTCGGTGAAGGCAGGGAAGGGAACCCACCCGCCCTGTGACATTGCCACTTACCCTAAACCCATAGAAGTGCTTTACGTCTCTTTGGCTTCCCTCAGAATTGGCTTGTCTTGCCTGTGCTTTGCAGCATAGCCCGAAAGGCATGCCTTAGGTTAGGCTCCCACCGAGTGAGAGTGGTATAGTAGACCCAAAAAGTATGGCATAACAGGAGTGTATAAGCCCCGGAGTATCCCTCGTAGTCACTATGAGCAAATCAGGGCCGAACCTAAGGGATGTTGACATCAAGATCCTTTGCAACCTTGCAAGACTATGCTACCATAATTCCTAAGGTATAACTAGGATCGCGTGGGAGTTCAAGTGTCAAGCGTAGGATTAATGGCTTCTGGTTCAAGAGCTTCAGGGCTAGATTAAGGTTTATGGTTCAAGTTTTCATTCGCGCAACCATAAGAATATATTTGTTTCCGGCAACCTTTCCCCCATTCCCCCCCCAGGTTTTCATTGGCCTTAATTAACCTTGAGCAAGCTTAGGGGATTGCGTGGGGGGCTGGGTGGTAGGGGAACCCATGAGAATATAATCGCTATCCTTGGCTGACTGGTCGAAGGTGCGGAATGGACCCTTACACTGGTCCCTATATGAGCTATAGTCTAAACCCTTAGAGGGGGTTATATAGGGGAGTCTACAGGGGACTACTAAAGGGCTTATGGAGGACAATACTAGGAGTTTAGACTATAGCTCATATAGTCTCCCCAAAAGCCGTATCCCTTTCTTGATCACTAACCGCTAAGCCCATTTTGTTGAGATCGTCTTCGAATCTTAACTCCCGCTCCAATGAACAGTGCAAAGCATGTCAAGCATATATGCGTGAAGGAGACCCCAAATGTCTGGAAACCTGCACGGGCTTCAAGTAGCAGTCGCCCTAAGCCCATAACCTTAAACAGAATGTACAGGTGACCGTGTTTGCATTTGGGCTGGTATCCCATCTTGCGCGATAAAGACTCAATCATACCCTAAACCCTAAACCCCAAACCCTAGACCCCTTGAACCCCAACAAAAAGCAGGTCTATAATCCCCGACAATGGGAGGCTTGCCTGAGTCATGAAGCCCAACATGCCTGGAAGCCTGAGTGAGCACAGTTATATTATAGTATATTACAATAGATTATAATAGGTAGTAGATTAGAATATATTATAGTATGATAGTAGTAGATATTATAGTTCATTATAGTATACTTGGCAGGTGTTTACCTGAAGGGTTCAGGGTTTAGGGTTTAGGGCTAGGCCCTCAACTGCAACCTCAAACTACGCGTGCAGACTGACTACCTTGTCAATGACAAGTGCGGGGGGGACCTGATCCAGCCAGGGCCTCTGCTGGATCTGTGGGATGTAGGGTTAGCTGCAAGCTTTGGACTTGAGGATTTGGGGTTTGGGGTTAAAACTTTCGGGTTCTTTCCTGTTTTCAGTGAGTCTTAGCCTTCTCGATTCCTGATGGGGCGGCTTGGTCCTGAATCAGGGAGAGGCAGAAATCTAACATGACGCGCAGAAGAATTATGAAGCCTTGACTTGCTGGGGGTTAGTAGGGAATGTGGGAATATACGATATAGATAGGGATTTATTCCCTTATTCCCTACTAACCCGCAGTACGTAAACCAAAGTATGACTGTGCCCGCTTTCCCCTGCAGATCCGCAACCTTAAAGCCTAAACCATAAATTGGAAAGGAGCAGCCAATCATCTTTTATTTTTGACCCATCGCGACAAAGCTTCTCCGGGCAAAGAGAATATAGTGTTTGAGATTGGAAGATGGAGGGTTTGGGGTGTTGCCGTATAACTTGCAAGAAGCTTGATTGTTGGGGTTGAGCTGTCAGCACTTTGTTGAGAGGAGCCATGCAGCTGATGATGAC